ATCCTTTTCATTAATGACAGCCAGTTAAAACAAATATTTTGAGTAAACCGCAGATAGAAAAGCATGCTTTTACTAAAATAACAGAGGGCTTAAAATGAAGAAAAAATAAGGCAGAGCAGCATTTCTTCTAAGTGTGCCTCAGATATTCAGACAGCTGGTTGTTGAATACTTAAAGGCTGCAGTTTATCTAACTTGTGGGAGGCAATTACTTGTTTCATGTTATGCAAAGCCAGTCACACATGCAGACACGTGCACACACACTTCCTGATGCAAACAACAATGGAGGGATGCTACTTCTTGCACATTAACAAAAAACACTGGAACACACCAAATGCTTCTCATGCCACTGCCGCATAGAGATAAAGTGCAATTAATTCATCTCAGTCTCACTGTGGGAAACTAAACATTAAATTTAGTCTCCAACGCTTTGATCACATGGTTTTACCTAAACTGATGCATAAAAAAGGTTAAGACAAAAACAAAAACGACAAATAAAATTGAGACAGAAAGCAGGCACCAAATGTCCTGTAGAATCAAATAGACTTTTTCCTAAATTCACCAAAAGCAAATTTTGTTCAAATTACATGCCAAAGCTGCAAAATACACTCATTACCTGTTGCTTGGTAACTGTAAGATGCCTTTGCGTTCAGTATTAACAATAGCTATTTGTATTATGAAAATGAGAGACACTCTGTGAACTTTATCATTTGCATAGAGGCTATTGATCTTGTCGAAAACCCATTTAAAAACAATGTAAAAATATGATTCAATAACTTTTAAAGCTTTTGAAATAAAACAGGGCATGTTCTTTCGAATAAAAGGTTTAACAGAGATTTTCCAGTTGATGTAGCAGTGTGCAGAGTGTCTGCTAAAGTTAATGCATTACCTACTTTGTGTTAAGATCACAATAGGTCCTTCCATAACCCATGCAAAGGTAGACCTTGAAACCACCCAATGGAAGCCACAAGTGGGCATTTGGGTGTTTTTTGTTTCTATAGCTGGTGTAGGTGTCCTCCGTTACACATGGCGGTGTTAATATTCTGCACACACAGGGTGCGGCCAAACCCCATTAATCATGTTTGTGAATGTCTAATCTCAACATTACTTGCACTGGTTTCATTTTCATGGCTGTCTGCAAGATTTATAATGGCGTTTTGAGGGGGTATATGTGCTCTGGTGTGTGTGTGTGTGTGTGTGTGTTTGTGCACACTAGATGTAATACACTGTTACGGAAGCATGCTCTCAAATGTGTCACCTTGTTGAGGTGAAGAATGTCCCAAACTTGCACTTATTGCCTTTAGTGGGAAATGAGGAGAGAGGGACGCAGGATGTTGACACACATTTATGTACCTTTAAATATAATTTTTTTGTGTGTTTTTGCTTGAATTATGAGTTTCAACAAATATATATGGCTATGTATATATTAGTGAAACTATGTGTGTATGTGTGTGTTCAAGTGTGCAGATGCTTCTGTGCGCACAAGTGTAAAAAGAGCTTGACCTGGTTACCACCTGTTACCATGGAGATGGTAAGTGGCCTTTCAAGAGATGTCCAACCGGATGATGAGATCAGATTACATCAGAGAAGGGAAAGAGCGGTAACAAACACTGAAGTGAGTATGATAAGGAGCACATGTAAGGAGGCTTAGGGATGGACCTTGGAGGCCTACAAATGGAGTGCCCCAACAGGAATCCTAAACCACAAACCCACAGTACACACTCTGTATGACAAATGCTGCATACACACATGGAAACATCAGATGTCAGATTAAAAACAGAGAATGAAAACAAATGCTTGCTAGTTTTGTGGTCTGGCGGCTGTCAGGAAGTGCTGAACTACCAACTGCTCAATTACCTATGACTAGCAGGCTGCTTGGAGAGCTGGATGTTGATGTAAATAGTGGACAGCAGGACTGTTTATGTAGCCAAAACTAGAGACACCAACTGGTGACAAAAGAGAAGTCGATGGATAGTAACAGGTTCATGACTAAGCTGGGAACAATTCTTAAATCTGAGCAAGGAGCTGATGAAACTTAACTTCAGACTCTAAAATTTTGATTTATCCACACATTTATATCTTATAAACAGCTTTTGAAGCCTTTGTGGACTATTATTGGTTATAGTAAACTTTGTTTTACCTCAGTCATACTGCGATTTGACAACCCTGACAAACCTGAGTAAAAAATTCTAATGTATATTACAAGATATGATTTTAAGACACAGGTTGTAATAGTGTTCAGAATTAATTTTTTAGCCATTAGAAAACAAAAGAAAACCGTCAAAGTTACCTTCATGGTTATCGGTAAAGTCAGTGTAATCATCAACGTCTTCAATGCATGAGGCGTCAGCTATAGGGCATGTAAATTAATTAATACATACTTGATAAAAACAAGCACAAAGAGCAGAGTTCTGAATAACATACACCTCTATCTTCTAGGGAGAATTTTATCAGGACCAAAAAATTAATTTTGGACATTTAGTTGGTGATTGCTCCCTGCCAGTAGGAAAATAAAATAAATATAGAGGAAGTGTTTTCTTTTTGAGAACTTTAATACTCCAATGCTTTCCCACCAGATACAATGAAAAACTTGCAGAGAGCAAAACCAACTTATGAGAACTAATATCTTATATAATGTAAAATACTTCTAATAATAATAATACTAATCATTTATCACAATCATTGCCATAATCAGTGTCATCTGAAATATTAAAGGCTGACATTTAAGTGAGATATGTTGCTACATTATTCTACTGGTATGTTAAATTATAGTGATTCAACACACAGGATTCAAACAAGAGGACATGGATTTACTCTATTTACCGTCGGAGTCCAGGCAGCCACTTTTTACTATGAGTAAATATAAAAAAAAGAACAAATGAATGAATTAAACAGAATTACCGTGCATGTAATGCAGCTAATATAGTGAATCATTCTCCCTCAAGAGCAAACAGTGTTCTGTACATGAACAGGTCACCAAGCTTTCACTTTAAAGTGCACTAACTATAGTTGAAAGAAATGTTTCAACAAATCTTTTTAACTGACATAGAAACTTTATCCATATCTCTATTTAATCAGAAAATGACCAGATTCCTATGCAAACAATCCTCATAAAAGTCCAAACTTTCTAACACTATTCTGGAAAATATTTGCCAGTAGCTCTGAGGCTACTTTGTCAAAAATATCAAGATAATAGAGACATGTTTAAATGTGCAGGGGTATCAGAAAAACCCCTGCACAATCGTCAGTTATGCTGAAACGGAAATATAAGGAATATCATCAATGCATTTTGTATATGTACTTATCCATTTTGTCAGATATTAGGTTGGACTTGAAGACAAAAAAAAATCCAAATTCAAATTGTTAAAACTGTTTTTAACGATTTGTAGTTAGGCATTTACTGATATGTGTATATAAGGATCATCCCCTTCCTCAAATCATCCACACACAGGAATATCATTTAATCAGATTTACCCAGTCTGATCTCATCATAGACATGGTCCTCTAGTAAAACTGGTGATTAAAGGAGTAATACAGAACACAGGAGAAACAGAGATTAGTGCTTTGCACTTTGCTCTTTAGGGGTTCTGGGGATGGGGCTGAAAATCTACTTAATAGGTAATTTTCAGAATCTCTGTGAACAGGGAAAACATTTTAGTTGAAGGAGCAAAAAGTACTATTAAAATAACCAATCATTTTCATCTTATAGGTTGAAAATTATTAGTTCTCAACCAATAAGATTAATTGGTTCACTCCTTGAAGACACGGGGTGGAAACACCCCTTGTCTTCTTTTCCAGTTGTTAAGTTTTTATTTATTTATTTATTTTCACACTTAAATGTTTCAGATCAAAAATCGTATCTTATTTTAAAAAAAATATTAATACAAAAGGCAATTTAGATAAGAATTTTATTTAGTAAGTTACAGTCAATTAAAAGTTCCAGGTAATTTTGATTCATTACCTCTTCATAAAAACTTTAAAAAAAAAACTTCTTGAAACAACTGTAGCAAAGCGGTGTTAATTCTTTGTTTTGTGTTTTAGTGCTCATTAATATATGCAGTTTTCTACATAACACTTTTGCCATATTTTATCTTAATGCAACCTTTCTAGTTACATTAAATAAACACCTGCACGATTATGACATGTGATGCACACCATACCTACTGAACACTGCTATATAGTTCATATTATTGCATAAAAGATAAGATGTGGTTTTATCCAGGACACCCTGTATTGCTGTTGTGCTTAGTGGCTCCTCTTGTGCTATCATGATTGGGACCTTGGTAACTGTCTATCACATCAGACTTTATAGCTTCTTGTAGACCTTCTTAATGTCAGCAACCTATTGAAACTGTCAATGGCACATGCCATTCCAGGGCTTGTCTCTCCTTAATGGCTTCTTGTCATTCATTGGAGTTCCACTTTGCACTTTTATTTTTCCCCCGGTGGTTGTCAGTTTTGATTTTCTGAAATCCATGGTATGTACAGTAGTACAACACAGAAAGTTTACTCATTTAAAATTCAAGATTTACTTCTCTAGGACTATAAAGAAAGAGTCGAGAAAGAGGAGGGATAGATAGATAGATAGATTAGATAGATAGATAGATAGATAGATAGATAGATAGATAGATAGATATCACAATATAGTGATGGTCAGTATTGCATAACAGGACCAGATGGTTTTCTTGGCACTGCCATAGTGTTGGCTGCCATGATGCTGTAAGCTTGTTTCCTGTATGTGTCAACATGAGAGAACTACAAAACACTGGGTGTTCACATTAATAGCAGGGTTATGGATCCGGTGGCACCAGCGTAAAAGCTGGTGACAGCCGATCCATTCGACAGTTGGAGGTATACTACACTGCTGTTGAGTCATCACAACTGCATTAACTATTATGTCAACTTCAGTATCCATCACCTTTCAAGCCTGCTCGGCTATAATTCAGATTGTTTCATTTTTTCCCTGTAATAATATAGATTTACATAAAAAGTAAGAAGGCATGCTTATAATTTCTTTGTAGATTAGGAGAAGCAGGAAGTAAGTGATTATGTGTCTCACCCAAAGATTAGACAGACATTTCAAATTGACCCTTAAGCTGTAACTTCCTGTCCCTCTGTAGATCTGAAAGGAACATAAGAGGTCTCGGTATGAGTGCCACCCGACTCTTTCTGGACCTTCTAAGGACATGAGGGAACTGTTTCCATTAAGCTAATGTGGGTCTGATCCATGGTGATGCATGTGAAGTGACAGGATGTTGGGTGTGGGGTCAGTCTAGAATTGGGTGTCTGTGGACAGGTGATAAGAGGTAAGGGCAAGCAGAAAATCTGTTGTGCACACAAAGAGGAAGCACTCTCCCAAAGGTGGAAAAACACATCATATGTATGCACACCAACATCCAAAAGCACACAGGACCTGTTTGAATTTGCACGCTCTCCTTGCAGTGATCAAAGATTTGTTGTGGGAGTGTGCACATTTCTCAAGTGGATTCAAACAGGGCCAAGCTCTAATTGCTTTCATTGTGGGTGTGGGGTTAACACACTTAGGTTTGTTTGGGGGGGGGGATTTTGGGTGAGGAGCATATTATGGAGTTTACCTTCTACGTCATTACAGTCAAAGTCTGGAGTGAAGCATGAATGGAGACAAAAGCACACACACAAACCCATGAAAGAAAACAAAACATTGCTAATAGCAGAAATCAACACATTAAAAAAAAAAAGTTGGTGAAATGGTTATTCACAATGTTATGCTCAAAAATTATTGAAATGACTTCAAGGTTGAAAGTGAAGTATTGATATGAGAGAACAAGGTAAGTTTTTTTTTTCAAGTTCTGTCAATCATCATACACTCATGCAAGCCATATTTTGTCACATATTTTTGTACGACAACCAGCAGGCATAAATGTACATCCGTATATATTGTGGTCATAATCCTAATAATGAATCAATTGAGACAGATAAAATCACACATACATTAAAAAAAAAAAAAAATCAGAAAAGACAACTCGCCTTTTACCCGTTCTCCACGGTTGAGCTGGATCTCTCCTTCCCCTTGTGGGGTGTAGGGCTTGACCACAATGAAGGTACGTCCTGGGACAGCACTGTAGAGTTTCCGTTTGGGCCCCAGAGGGCCTGTCAGTGCAGGAGGTGTGTGATGAGGTGGACTTGGGTCTCGCTGCACTGAGCCAGGGCTGTAAACAAACACATATGTTACTGTGGTGATTCCAGGGAGCTGGTAACTGAAGCCGGTTGTCACTGACATGGTCGTCAGTGGGACAGCGACCTGGTGACACCCCCTGGTTGTTAATGTTCCCAGGGAGGGATTCATAGGCATGCCTAAGTACCTGCCAATCAACAGTCAGTGTTCCACAGGAGAGTCATGAGAGGATAGTATTTTCCTCCAAGACACTCTTGTCCTCCCCCTGTTTCTTCTTCAGTAGCAAAGACAATATCCTTGCTCTCTTTTACCCTCTCCCTCTTAGGTGTCCCCTCTCTCTCGCATCCTATTCGAGGTAGGAGAAGAAAAATGTACCAGTAAAAGGAATAGCCCTGTTTCCTTTCCTGTGTGGATCTATCAGGTCCGACTGGCAGCCCCCATTAGTTAAGCACATCCTGAGTTTGGGTTCCATCAAAAGTCCCTCCAAAAGACAAACAGAAATCTCCCGTATGCCCTGTGCTCCAGATGCTCCAGGCTGGACTACAGATCCTCCCTTGTCCTTGGGTCCTGGTTTTCCTGCTGTGGAGGAGAAAGGTTAGGTCTGCTCCCCAACTCCCGCTCCCTCTCCCCGGAGTCCCTCCGTGTCTGCCTCTCCTCTCCCCTCCACCCCTCACACATGCGCTCACACACACTCACACACACTCTAGCAATGCTGCTGCTGCTGCTGCTGCTGCTGTGCTCCGTGCCTCCCCTCCGTTTTGACGGCTCGCTCACACTCTCACGCCACAAGCCCTCTATGTGCATTCTAGCTGTGCACCCAGGCACAAACACACACAGCCCCCTCCGCTCCGGCTAGCATTGCACCTTCACTGGCATGGCATACGCCACTGCCAGTATGTCGCTAACACATCGCTGACACACACCAGTCCCAGAGCACAACTGATCTCCTTCTGCCTGTCTGCCGAGAGTGTGCATGCGCCATAGCTCCCTGAGGCAGGCTGCGTAAGTATATGTGTGTGTGTGTGTGTCTGTCTGCGTGTACACTTGTGTGCAGAGGGGTGGCGGGTGGGGGGGAGGCAAAAGCTCCAGCCCATTTGGTTTAATTGTCGCTCCTGACTCATTGCCTCTTTGCCTTGAATCCCCTCCATCTCACTCTCTTTCTCTCTCACTTCCATTTCACCTGCTTTCATCCTTCTCCTCCACATTGCTTCACACCGCATCTCCATTCTCTCCTTTTCCTGCCTCTCTCTCAAGCAATGAATTCTAATACAGCAGCAGAGCTCCGCCTAGTCTTCATTCATCATCACCTCTGTGGCTGTGCAAGTTGCATTCAGCGTCATTCCGCTGCTTGTGCTGCCAAAGCTTTCTCTCAAGTATCTTCTTTTTTTATTTAAGAGAAAAAACAATTATAATGTGCACTCACAAATACATTTAGAAAATAAATCAGTTTTCTACGTCTTAACTTGATCTTGTGTGTGTTTACTGCTCATTCAGTATAAAAAGTCGCCTTATTATTCTCTGAAATGAAACACTGACACAATTAGCATTGATATTTACAGTCATTCTCTTTCTCACATATAATCAGGTTACGACCACGAGCTTCAGTTTATTTAGTTCAGATTTTGCGGGTATAGATCAAAACAAAGTAGTGCACAATTGTAAAGTAAATATCAAATAATAATTTCCAAAGCTTTTGTTACAAAAGAGTAAAAAAAACAGTGTGGCATGGATATGTATTTAACTGACATATATAAATAATGAACCCTTCCGTTCAATACAAGGAAAGGCAAGAGCTGTAAATACAAAAAGAGCTTCATTATAGCTCTTTTTGTGAATCTACAGACTGAAATCTTGCTCCATATCAGACTGTCCCAGGGCACCTGTGGCTACCAGCCAGTAGCCTGCATTCAATCTGTGAATGACTGGTTTCAAAGTGTCTGAGTGTCCTGAAAACTGCTAAGCAAGTCTGATGTCATTTCATTTCGTATCTCTTTGGAAAGCAGCTCAGGATGAGTCAAATTGGAAGGAGAGTATGAACATGAATTTTCAAGTTTTACCTCAGTCCTGATTGAATTTGAGTCTACGTTTTTGACTGGACTGGAAGAATAAGCTTTTCCTTGGAGCTGCAGTCCAAGCTGGAGTGAAGGGATCTTTGGATATTTTAAGGAAGTGGTTTCTATGCTATTGTGAGGGCATAAACCAGATTGTAAAGTTTTAGTTATTTGCAGATTCTAAAGGTGGAGATTCAAAGTTTTCTAATTTTCATATCTTCTTCAGATGAAGAGCTTCCCGAGGTTCTTAACATGTACATCGCTTAGCAATACATCCACACTCCCAACATTGACTATCAACATTTACGATTGAGAAGGAGTGCAGAAAAGAAATCTAACTTTTTGTCTGGCTTATCTAGTTAGAAATATCTATTTTTGGAAATCTTCAACTCGTGTCCCATTTTCCAATAAGGTTGTGAGTTTCTGTTTTGCAAGCCTTTGTCATGGAGTCTTGTGTGAAGCTGGAATTACACCATGCCTATAATCCACATGACAGACAATGTTTTCTTTCAGCCTGATGAGAGCCCAACATATGTATATTTTACTTTAAGTGTTACTGCTACTAGATATAGCTTTCCAGAAAGGCACAAACAACTGCTCACCCGCCTGGTCACTGTCATGGCGCGCTCAGTGCAGCCGCAGCAGAGCAGCACAGGGCCGGGCAGGCGGGCACAGATCCGTGTGGCGGTGGCATGGTATGTATCGTAATCGTGTTCTAAAAACAATAAAAGTTCTGAAACTCACCTCATGAGAAACTCCAAACATATAAGTGTTCCTGGTGAGTTTTCTTTTCACCAGTATCTCTCTGGTGGATGTTGTAATCCACCAAGTAAGGGTGGATGCCTGTTGACTTGTCACACTCTTTCTGCTGCTGCAGATAAAGGCAAGAGGATCCATAGCGGTATCGGATCAAAGGAGCTCATATGCTGTATGTGACTTTGAAAAATATCTCCATTTCCCTTCACTTCGTAATAAAGTGTTGCTTTGTGTTGTTCTGTCACATAAAATCCCAATGAAGTTTGTGGTCATGATGTAAGAAAATGTTGAAAACATCAAGATATTTGCATTGGCACTTCATTCGTGTCATAGAAATTTTCAACTATATGCTCAGATACACTACATGTCCAATAGCCTGTTTTTCTGTTTATTTCTATCTGTTGCCTTAATTTTAATTACTGATTTCTGTCTCATATTTTCTCATTGTCTTACTGTCTTCCTTGTTTCTTATTTATAGGCTTATTTATTTCCCTTTTCCTTACTCAACCCTTCCTTTTACCCCCTCAACCCACCACCTCCCCACAAAACACCCAACATCGAAACAACCATTTGCTGATGGCTTTCCAATTGCTATAGAATCTGATGGCCTATGGTGGCTCCAGCATATTAATGTCTGAGACACAGCGTAGAACAACAGCAGCACACTTATCAAGCTTAAAGAGGGTTGCAGAAGGAAGATGAGGCTGCGCTATGCAGACACTTTATCATCCTCACCTTTACAAAAACCATTATAGCTGTAGTTTTAGGTACACAGCCACTTTTATTTTTGGCAAAGATATCAATTCAAAAGATTGCCAGAAAGATTTTCATCTATTTCAACTTCACAGCTGGATGAATGCCAGCCAAGAGTAATTTCATCAAGACATCTCGGATGTGGAGGGAACTGCTCACCTTTCTTTATAAAACCAGAGGCTGTGTGATGTAAAGTCTTTTGAAATTCAGAGGTACGTGAGAGATGCAAAAACCGTTGAGGCTTAACAAACATGCTCTGTTATACCAATTCAACCACATTTTCAACTCTCTTTGAAGTATACCATCACAGAAACGCTCTCACATTTGGATAACTTGATTAGCACAACATTTTTCCAAGTGAGGTTACATCTTCAGTCTGCTTTCATGATTACAGTATATGCAAATATACTGTCTATTTGAGTTCAATTTAACACAATATCTGAAAACTGTTGTGCTTTGAGCTTCAAATTGATCTCAGTAGTTTGCTTTGTTGTTTGGGATGAGCGATCGCTGCAATCAGACTGCATTTGATTTAACTGCAATTGAATTTAGTAGTAATGATATTTAAAATGAACTGATGAATTAAACTGCATGCTAAAATGGTTTTTAATTGAACTTGATTTATTTTTTTGTTGTTGTTTTTTTGCTTTCTTTACAAAAAATACTGGGTTGGAATTGAACTGAAATTCAGTGTATTTTAAAATAACACTTTTCATAATTGGTTTTCTATGAAGAAACTGAAGCATAAACTTTAATATAACTTGCGCGACGGAGGCCTGGGTTGAAAACAAAAAAAAATAAATAAATAAAAGAAGCTGTTTCTATGTTTTCTGTTAGACCTACAATCACAATTAGTAAACCCAGCTAATCATATGTCATCTTCTGAACAGCTTAGCAATGAGTTCAGCTGGCTAAGGTTGGGTTTATTTTATAAAGTGTTGACATAAATCTGAAGAAACACCTCAAAATGTCATTTAATGCCATTTACCCAGATGCTATCAAATTAAGCTGCTTCAGTGAAGCATTTTTATGCATGAGTGTCTTGCCCTAGCAGGTAAATGGGTTTTTTCCTCAAATAGCCCACCTCTCTAAGGTGAGATGCGCAGTCCTAATCAGCATAACACTTTGCATTCTAATGATCCTCACTCTGCCCTTGCCTTGCTGCACATGAATGAATCCGTGTCCTTTCATTCTTTCTTCCTTAACATGTGAGTGTTTATGGCTATTAAGAAGAATGAAGATTGTGGACTTTGCACATGGGAAGAACATTTTAAGGTTATGCCCAGCAAATCCACAATTCAAAACAGTAAAACCTCATCTTAGCTTGTTAAGAAAGATTGAGTTTGGCTGGGCAAACACTACTTAACTCTTACTGAGAAGCTTTACTTATTTACTTATTATTATTACTTAACATTAACATTTCTGCCATTTTTAAATATGTAGACAATAGTCTTATTGTTTAAAAACTTCCAGACCACTGCTCATATTTTATAAAGATTGCTGAAACAATAATTTGTATGTTCTTTTTCACCTTGAATGCTTCCTACAACGTCCATCAGCACCGTTGAATAAATAGTTGAAAATGACACTGACAACGTAATAGAAACTCGTTTAAAATATGACCTCTGAGAACTCACTGAAAACCTGTGAGTGGAGGGACTTTTATTCCCATGAGTCACTTAGTCTTCTCTTCAGGGACAGAATGAAGGGAAATAATAATGGAAGAAAGAAAAGGCATAAAACAAAAAGGACCCTGAGGTACACTCAAAACTCAGAAGGCTTATAGTTGACCTTTAAGTATGATGGAACTCATGACCTGGAGGGACATGACTAACCAAACAAACATCAAACGTACCATGGACATCAAATTACTCTTGGAACTTATAACTGAGTGGGATAAACTGCAGGGATAAGGGTAGCGTCTTGAAAGTCAAAGTAATGCTCTTCAGAACAAAAGAACAGAACATAGCAAAATAAGCTGCATGAAGGAGAATGCGACAATTACTGATTTAACTTCTTTTTTTTTTTTTCCAGAAAATGTTTCTTCGTACGTTTCAAAAACTTAAACCAGTTTTGAATAGAATGTGGTTAGTGAATAATAATTCTGGGTTGGCATGTCTAAACGTTGCGATTTTCATGGTTGTCTCAACATAAAGCTGTCTTCATGCCAACAGGAATGTGTTGTCATAAAACGAAAAATGATTTTATGACTCAAACTTTATTTTAAAAATTGGAACTTTTTGTGATCAAATCCACTCCAGTCACAGACAAGAGATGCCAAATTTGAGCTAATTTAAAAACATCAATGAGAAATAATCCAAAAAGACTTCATCCAGTGATGTTCATTAATTATTACTGGAACACTGATAAACCCTAAAAAAGCTTGCTTTTCATTGTATACCCACTTTAAAAAAATCTGTAGTTTGGCAATCAGATAATCCTGAGTCACCCTGATTGAAAGACCCAAAGTGTGCAATATGTAGTTTCAAGTTAATACAATGAAACGGTGTTCCTTAGGAGATAAGGAACATTAAGTGGCTAATTAAAATATTGTGTCATAAGCAAATATTATTTTTCTAATAAAATTGTACATCACCACATGAAAACCTGGCAGTATTTCTAATTTTATTGTCTACTGTGTAAGATAGAGATCTTATTATGGCCAAACTTCTAGACCTTAATGTGATTTTATTTGTATTTCTTTGTCTGCTTTAATGAACACTGCAGCAGTTGGTTTTATCCAGTCTCTCTTAATTGTTTTGAATCATTTTTTTATTAACTTTCTACCATAATAAGGTCAAGTTTTGGAACCCTGAAAGCCTGTTACACAAATAGGGAGGAGGAAGTGACAGTGAGTTTCACAGGAGTCTGTTGTTGACCAGCCAAACTAATTTCACACTCCCCTGGCACCTATAATGCCGCTAGAATTACCACTGGCATAAACAGTAGGTCAGACAGTGAAAAAGAGAGAGGGAGAATATCATAAAAAAAAAATATTCAAGGACACCATCACTCTCACTTGGATGCAGGTTCTGGATATTGAGACCAGCTGGTCTTTTAGAACTCCATATACATTCTCCTTACTTTAATATATAGCGCCAAGGTTGGAACAAGGTCTCAGCTCCATGCTTAGAGGAGGCTTTTTACTCCAGGACTCAGCAGATATATTAACCCTGCTTTCTATTCTCTTAGTCTTTTGTTTTCTTTTCGCTCCACCCAAACAACCTTGGACTGACCAAACATGTCCACAAAAAACATTGAGGCGATATCTGTTGCTAAATACCCTGTGCAGCGCTGATATTGTAGAAAATAATGAAATTCATTGAGACATAATGTTAGACCCCTAAGAGGGCTGAAGCCCTCATTAAACACAGTATATTTGATAAAAGACATAAGAAGGGAATTAAACATGAAAATAATCAGACATCAGACCATTTCACATGTACACTGGATATATACTGGATGTGGTTGAGCTCTTATAACCTAAGAGCTAATAAACCAATTACCTCAGAGATGTGATCTAGTTTGAATTAATCTATTGGTTAAATGCAAACAAATTAGATTTAGTCTGCCCTCACTTGACAGGACCTTTTGAACTGGGCTGGATGTCTTACATCATTACTCATAGCTCCAATTTGAGAATGAAGCCAATACATAAATCACTCTAACTCAAAATGTATCCAATGATCCAAACAAGCTGACAGATTAAAAGTTTGTTGCAAGGGAGATCATTATTAGCTCCTATCAGCATGTGCAGCCCTGTGCAAGCACCATTAATTAAACACAGTTGTATAGAATCGGGCCTTTATACACATTAAAACTTTAAAACACAAACTCCAAGAATATTCTTCCTCATCCCTTTGACAAGACAAACAGCATCTCAGCTTAGTATAATAAACAAACATGGCCATTGTTTATACATGACATGAACATGCCTGTTATTATTCCCAAACACCCAGAAGCATGGATCATTCAAAAGTTACACCACACATAACCAGCAAACCTTTACATGACCAGTGTTCAGTTTATTACAGTAAAGCCAATATCAATATGTAGACATCTTTTGGGTAACAATCCAAAAGATGTTTACTTTTGTAGTAGAACACATTTAATAGAAAATATATTTATGATGACTGACTGATGATTAAATGAAGATTGCATGATTCTTAACATGTTATGTTTTTTTTTTGTTTTGTTTTGTTTCGTTTTCCAGAATTTGACTGGAGCAGATCGAATAAGATGCGATGATACCGATGACTAACAAGTGACTCAGCAACACCACATGGGACATTTGGGTTTTTGAAACAAGGCTTCAAAATCTAAATAGGTACATAGTCAAAAGACGTCACAAATTAGCTATTAGAGTGAATATGTGAAAAGACTGGCAAGGGTGAGATGAATTAGAGATGGGATGAAAAAGATTGGCAGTATTCATCAGCTGGTATTTGTTGAGTACAACCAGAAATAACAAGTGAAACCAGGCAGAAGAGATCGTCACAAACCTGAGTCTCCCACGAGGACCATGTCCATGAGGGTAGCCATGGCTGTGGGAACGTCTGGGAACCGGCCTGTCCTCTTCATGCATGTGATGTAATGACGGTGAGCGGGAATGGGAGGATCTGGAGCTGCCGGTACTCTGGAGACTGCTGTCAGGGATCTCCCCATGACGACCCTGACGCAAAGCAGAGGGACAAAGCATCACTACGTGATTGAGTAAATAACCATGCAAACAGTCTGCTTTAGTGGCATCACTGTTGGTTTTAACAACCTTTTATAATAGTCTTACTTCTCCAAGGCTGCTGTGCTGTTGCCCAAAAGCTGGGAGACTGCGCAGTGAGGGAACAGGGGAGTGACCAGGGCGGCCGCGGGATTCTCGAGGGCGCGGAGGGTGGATGTGATCATGGTCACCGTTAAGGTTGTTGTCACTTGCAGAGCGCAGCAAGGAACGCGGTGAGGGCAGGGTGCCAGCCACAACACGTCGACGGTTGGTGTAGGAGGGGGTCTCCCTGAAAGGCACTAGAAACGAAAAGAGGGAAGCCGCAGACTAAAGGAAGATAATATCGCAGACTGCAGTCATAACCCTGCTTCAAAGATCTCTACAACTTTTTTCCTGATCTGTACAGTGTGTTTCTTGGTCTTCATGAAGCTGTTTGGTGCTGGATTTATACTGAGATTAAATTCCACACAGCTGAGCTCTATTTACTAACTAGGTAGCTTTTAAAGGCAACTGGTGGCACTGCACTTATGGAGCCTACATCCAAATGCATGCTACACTGTTCTGATATTCATTTATATAAAAAAAGCACATGCATCATTTTGCTTCTACTTCACAATTATGTGCTATGTTGTGTTGGCCAATCATTTAAATTCTCAGTAAAATATTGATCTTTTGGGGTTGTAATGTGACAAAATGTGAGAAAGTTTATGGCACCTTATCAGATTGTTAGACCATCATCCATCATCCATAAATGTCAAACTAGAAAGCATATTAAATAATAAATTCAGACTGGTGAGTGAAAGACAAAAAAATCTAAATGAAACGAAAGGAAATAGGATATAGGGATTTTTATCATTTTTATGAATATTAAATTTTAATCACCTGGAATGAAAATCACAGTTAAATCCCGACTTGCTGACAAAGATGGGTGTGTAAGCAACAATATCTAGCCTTTATACGTGATTATGGATTTACTAGGGTTGTTGCTTCCAAAGGAAAAACTAATTTGAGAAATTTGTCTTGGAGTGGGGTATTACAAGCTGTCCACACCAGATGGCAGAGTTTTCCTGTATGTTATTTCACAGAGAAACTGCTTAACTCATCACGGTCCAGTGTCCTCACACATCCTTCTTCTTTTTTATATTCTTCTTCAGTCTGTATTTTAAACTCTTATCAGCTACATAAATACACTGGCACAAAGGCTGCAGCTGGATATTTAATCAACTTTAGTAAAGTGACGTCTATTCTCAACTTACCGACATCTGATACTTTGTGGACCTTAATGATTTCTGCAAGATCAAAGTTTCCTGCTATAATAGCCACCTAATGGACGAAAACAACATGGAAAGCAGAGATAATGTTTAAGCGACAGAAAACAAACCTAAGCACATACTCAGCAGTTTTTGTCGTCTGGAAATGTTACGAAAAATATTTGCACATCATTTGTCTTTAATAAAAGGAATAATTCAACGTATTAAGACAAAGTTATACTTTATAAACATTAAATCTATGTAATATCACACAATTAAACTTGCAGCTACTATTAGACACCACACATACCTGAAAAGCAGTCTGGCTATTGTAGTTCTTTATCTCTTTATTGGCTCCTCGGAAAAGCAAGACACGTGCACAGCTATCCTAAATGAGGAAGAGATTCATGTGTTGAAATATCACCACTGTTTGGACATTAAAGACAGGACTTTTTTTTTTTTTTTTTTTTTTTTTTTTGCATCGTATCAGATAACACTTAAGGATTAATTCACTTCATGTGTGCTTGTGGAAGTATCTCTGCGTACGTCAAAAATGTTTACAAACGTTATTAGACTAAATATATATGTACTCTTATGTAAACATTCAGTATTCTAATGTCAAACCATTAGAGTACTGAAATACATTACTCATGTCACAACGGAAGTGAGATGACAGAGTTTAAAAAAAAATTACAACTACAAAAACCGGGAGTGCAAAGGTCTTGAAAAGTCATAAACCAAGAAGAGCATCATAAATTGGAGACATACACTGTGACGGTTATTGTGACTATTATTGCCTGGAGCAGCATTACCATTAACCTCTCGAATCCCCTCTAAAAGGAATCTAGCTTAGGGCACCATTTAAAAATGACTTTGACAAAACTGGTGGTGTAAAGTAATATGGTATCACTCTAAAGTTACACAGCTGACTGAATTTGTGAAATACATGGAAATAAAACAACAGATTGTGAAGTTGTAAGACAAATTATAAAAAATACTCCTTTGCTTGAGTCATTGTTGACAAGTTACTACATCTTCGCTTGAAATGCCAGCAGTAGAGGTGCATTTCTCATTTCTGCAGCTGTGAACATATTTATTCTGCTTTTCATTCAAAAATAGTTCACAAGCAAGTCAGATGTTTTCTGTCACTCATTTTGAACCATCTAATCAAGAAATACAGCACACAGTTCTTACTTTCCTGAATGAACCAGAGTGCCAATATAAGACACGAAAAACAATGTAAAAAATTGGATTTTATAAAAGTATTCAACTTTCAATACAGATACCTCATGGCGTTTAGAGGTTTTAAACATATGCAGATATTTGCAAAATTGTACAAAAATATTGATACATATGAACAAAATAGTGCCTAATTGTAATGTGGAAATAAAAAATGGAAAATATAATAGAAAAGAATGTTTTTCCAATTTTTTTAAAGTTAAATCTTAAAAACATGACCTGTATTTGCCACCTAATTTAATATACAAAACAATGACAAGCTCTACAAGCTTTGCAAATCTGGAAGCTTAAATTTTTACAAAGACTTCTTTTTTTCAAAGAGCTGAATGTTATATTGGATAAAGAAACTTGAAAACTTAAATTTTCAAGTCCCAAATTTTAGATTTAATTCTGGACTTTGACTTGGTCATTTCATCTTATGAAAATAAATCCACTGCAGTTGTGGCTGCATGTCAGTGTCACTGTCCTGCTGGAAGACAAATCTTTGTCCCAGTCTCAATTCTGTCTCTAACAGGTGATTTTTTCTTGAGTTGTCACTATTAAAGAGAGCATAAGGAGGGGAATGAGTGGTTTGAAGGATAATCGCAGTAAAATCACCATGAAGATTATATTACCACGAGGAAACCAGGAAAAAGTCGCCAGAACAGAAATTGAGAAAAATGATAAAATCCACCAATTTCTGAGAAAATAGAGATTTTTGTTATTTTGCGAATTATACTAGTTGAAGTTATAAAGACAACACCCCACGCTTTAAATGGCAGTTTCATATGCTTCAACATAGTGAAGTTTGTATTTGAATTTCACTTGTTTACACCGTAAATCTCAACGGTTTTGGGTTGTAGGAGGAACTCACAGCTGATTAACACACCAGGCTTTATTGCCTTTATTAGCTATATAAAAAGTTTGATACGATAGCGGCCTGGGGGGTCTGAGCAACGGTGTGCATCATACTGGTTAACTGCACCTAGTAACTCTACCGCCTAAAATGAAATAATTTATGTTGGGCTTTCTTCGACCTGAAAGAAAACATCTTCCAACACATCGTATTTATCTTCCACTAAATAGGTTTGAGTTGCCAGGGCAGCAACCTAAGAAGAGACATAGACGTCTCTCTCCCCAGCAACTTGGACCAGCTCCTCTGGGGAAACCCCCAGGCGTTCCCCGGGCAGCCAAGAAACATCGTCCCAGCTTTTGAACACTGGATGGGTATTTTATTTAGGAATTTCAGATTGGCTATTTTTATTATTCTTATTTAGCCTGATAATACATTGTATATTTACCATGTCTAAATGCCATGTCAACATACCATATGTTGAGAGTCAGACCTTATTATAACCAAAAACAACAAATTCAACTTAATTAGGCACCAATCGATGTCTTCTAGTGTACAGCTTTTCACCTTTTGTTTTTCAGTCACATCTAGTAGACGAAAGGCAACAGATGTTGCTCGGCATGTTTTCACACATAAGGATTTCTTAAATGCTTACCAATAAAGCAATCTTCGCATGTTTAAGTGAATGTACAATCACAGCTTACAAAACGCTGCCTCCTCTAAAGAGTTCATTAAAGGATTGTACTTTATGACTCCATGTCTGACTGTGGCAGACAGTCCGTGTGTTTATGCTGATTTGCTATTCACCACAGTTCTGTCTTTTCAATGACTTTTTTCAAGCATGTCTCGAGGATCTCTCTGCCAATCAAAAGACTCCTGCCATGTTCTCATTCACCAACACATCTGCCAGGCCCTCTATGCTGAAGCTAGTGGCCACAAAAGGAGCATGGATTGAATTTGTTTATTCTAATATTTCCTACTGAAAGCTATTTTTCATTCAGTCAGTCTTTCGCAGTCATTTATCTCTTCCTCTTGCAGACAGCCACTCTTCTCTCTACATATGGATCTATTGATCCTGCCACTGGACAACTACTTTTCCAATCGATCCTACAATCCCCTTTCTTACTGTCATTGTAGATAATCATCCGAGACAAGCCTGCTTCAGGCCTACTGGAACCCTGCTATGATACACGCTTTGTGAGATCAATCAGCTTACCACAGCTGCCGTACCAGTCCACACTGACACAGTAGCTGTGGTAAGCTGATTGAAATGTCATTCTCATCAGCAAGGACCGACAAGAGCGACGACACGGTCCATTAACATGCAGGATGTAAAGTAAGTAGAACAAGGAGTTGAAAATTCAAGCCAGTCATCCAGTCTGTCTGATATTTCTTTACATTCAGAGCTGTTACTTTGCTGACCCTTCTCCTAAGCACATTATTTAAAATAAATGTTCACACTAGTAAGATGTAATACTCCTCAGTTTCTTCTCCAAATTGAAGGCAGCTCCAGCATATTTACAGTATGTTCTGATGACATGAACATCACGTGGATGTGTTACAAACTGTTAGTATTAATTATTGATGCTCTGCTTACCAAACACACACACACACACACACACACACACACAACTACCCCCTACTCCCGAGACTGTGGTGTTCCAGTTGAGCTGAAGCAGTTCATTCATCACAACTGAAATTAGCTGTGCAGCACATAGCACACACACACACACGCACGCACATGAGCGCTCTCTTTTTCACGTGAGCGAGAGGGCTCATTTAATGTTCATGAAGTGAGCACCACATTTTCCCAATGAAGCAGCAGAAGGGCATCTTTTAGAGTGCCAAGTTACATCCCTCACTTTGAGCAGACCCAAAACAAACAGTAAGTAGTCATACTCTTTATAGGAACCGTTATGATGTTCACAAGAGCACGCTGGGTTTTACAGACCTCTCCAAACCTTCACCCCCTACAGTGTTTTACTGTACATCAGTCAAAAGTGAGCATGTTCATTCATATTTCAGGATCTCCACTCACTCTTTTTGATGCTGTAATGGCTTCGCAAGAACTGCAGGAAAAAGCTCTTATTTCTTCACTTTGATTACTGTAATCTAAGATCTCTGAGCAAGACACTGAAGTCTTGTGTGGCAGCTCATTCCCCTTTTTGCCCTTAACATGGTTAAAATACAGCAAAGCATAACATTTTAATTTGCCATATATTAACTTGGGTTTTTTTTGCACGCCATAGCAAAACATATGTTAGAAGAACATCACATAACCTCTTAGTTTATACCAAGACCACATGTGCGTGTCAGAAATCAACACAGCTACAGCTGAAACTCTCAATTTACATCGAAACCTGTCAAAGGTGATACAAAATCCAGATAAATAGCTTAATGCCAAGATAGCTGTGCAACAAAAATCTCTGAAAAATGTTCTTACTTCTATTGGTCAGAGTAAATGTTACTTGATTCATTGTCCTTTTAATAAGTCAAAATACCACATTCATAACTTAAGAATCAGATGTTTTGTAACCATTTAAAAACAGCAACAGAAAAATATATATCTTATCTTATGACAAGTCGTTCTGCTTACATTCTTTTTGAAACATTGCAAATGTTTATGCCGTAAATGTAAATTCATAAATTCAAATAAAAATATATTTGTCTTTCATGAAAACTTAATCTTTTGTGGACTGAATAGGCATGTATTTACCTATCAAATCAGTAGATTTCTTGAATATAGTCACTTATGAATATCAACAGACAATTTTGAAAATTTGAATAAATCTACTCTCTACTCTCATCTCCAGATAAAAACCTTTAAGTTAAATCCTGAATATATTTATACTATCACAACAGCATTAAACAGTTTTTAAAAAGGTGATGGTATTAAATTACTAACCTATGACCCGCCTGCCACAAACAACAGCTGCAGGCAAAAAGCTGTCACTTCCAAACCCACCAGAAAGTGAACAACAGTGCAAGAGTCATTTCAGAACAAATCTGTGGGTGTTTTTGAATAGCACAACCACAGACCATAAGTCTACGCATAGAGAAGTGCAAAGAAAGCCAAACAACATTTTCAAAAGCAATAAGATGTCTTAAGCCAGGGTTGCCCAAAGTCGGTCCTCGAGGGCCGGCATCCTCCATGTTTTAGTTCTCTCCCTGGTTTAACACACCTGGATCATTATAAGATGGCTCATTAGAGGGCCTAAGAGGAACATTGACTTGCTGAAAAGTTTGTTACCACCACCAGGGAGAGAACTAAAACGTGCAGGATGCCGGCCCTTGACGACCAACTTTGGGAACCCCCGTCTTAAGCATTTTTCTGCTCCGACTTTAACTGCTCAATATCTGGAAACATTGCCTGCCATCATGGACTTGCTTCTTCCGTTGCCATTGCCAAACTGCAAACATAAGCACACTACAATTCTGCAACAGCGCAAAAAAATCAAAGTCATCATTTTTAGCAACTCCCTCTGTCCATTGATTGACCAGGATGAAGTTCATTCTGAGAAATTGTGTTCAATGGCAAAAGAACTGAAGGGAGACGAGAATCAAGAAGAACTGCATAGGAAGGTAATTTAAAGAAATACTAATTAGCAATCTGTAGTCTAATCTAAAATATTCATTCTCATAATTTTCATTAAGCTGATGAAACTATGATACAGAATGTGAAAAACTTTCCAAAAATATATATATTACACTAAAAAACTAAAGCAAGGTGATGAGGCAAACAGCAAATAATAATCAGGATTCATTTAATAATTAAATTGTGCTCTTACTTTTAATTATTCAGTAAAATTTAATATTTTACTAATTTATAGTTATGTGTTATCTAGTTTAGATGAAGCACAAATTGACAGTAAATTTGAAACTAAATATAAAAATACTTTAAAAGTTATTGCAAAAAAAAAGTCTACTGATAGTCGAGACTGACTAAACTCTGCAGTGTTCTGCACTGTTTACAAAATAATCTGTGCAAGGTTTTCATCTGCTGGTCATGTGCATCATCAAATATTTACCATGTGATTAATTTTAGGCAACTAAAACCAAAAGGGAAAAGACTTAATATGTTTAATTATTTAGTTCGGTCAACACTGCAACACTGAAACACGAGACAAAGTCTAAGCATTTAATGCACAACATGCTCATACAGTCTTCATGTTGCTGCCCTGTGGGCACTAAAAGAGCCACTGGGTGTACAAGGAACAGATGTCACAGCCTTCTCTCTGGAAGAATTTAAGTCACAAACAGAAATATCATTTTGTTTCTGAGTGAATGTTACCTGATTGTAGAGAGCACACACATGTAGGGCAGTGTTTCCAGATGCATTCTGGGAACTCATGTCAGCTCCGTAGAACAGCAGGTGTTCCAAGTGCTGCACGTGGCCGTAGCGGCACGCCTAAAATGACAAATTAATAAACGTAACTCCTTTTGCTCAGTGTTTTTTATTAGACTCTGTCCATCATTTGGACAGTCAGATGATAAATGAGGTGTTCTACAGAATGACATGAAGGAACCACATTGGAATTCCTACAGGATATGAGGAACTTGGACAAATAAGAATAATAGAGTGTTTAAACATTGGAGAGCTGGGCTGCAGCCAGCGTCCATTACCAGAATTTCCTTTTGTCTACTAGTCATATTCAAGATGTTACTGTGACCTACATTTTCTATTTGCCCAATGAAATAGAACACTGATTCTGGTTTTTGGTTATCTAAACAATGGTTGAATACAGTAAATCACAAACCTTAGCAATACTGAAACAGCTGAATTATGAGCGGAGTCTTTCAATTTTGAGTTTTTTCCTATATTTTCCTTAACTTTAATTTGTGGTGACTGCTCAGTCTACTGGGATGAAAGCTGTTGCAAACTATCCTGAAGCTGCTCCAGCCTTCCTTTTAACTACGTCTTATAGAAACTCCTCTTTACTCACAACAACAGATACTAAAAGGATGAGAAAATCTTGTTTGCACCACCTGAGGCTTAATGTAAATGTGTGATGTTATTCTGGTAGGACATTTTCTGCACGGCTGCTGCTGCACCTAACTTGGAGCAATATATTTTTCATCTTTTCTATACTTTCCACTTGCGTCCTTTGTCATTCACACAGAGGAAAAAAAGCTTTCCCCAGCCATTGTTCTCTCACTCCTGTGTTTTGTCTCATTGGAGTGCACTGTAGAAGTGAGAGAGCACACAAATGATGCTGGGATTTTTCTTAGTTACAAGCTGTGTGCACTGCATTCTATTTCAGACAATATGTACTTAAAGATTTTTAACGCTAAAATAAGTGCAAAATGCAGGAAAAAAAAAACCACACCAACACACAGCAGAGTTGGCGTTAAAAGGCATAAAACTGATTAAAACGTCTTTGAGTGAAGGGCAGCACAGTTATTTGATAATGCAGTATCAGTTCAGACATCAAAAAACAGTATCTGTTTAAAAGAATCCAGGCAATATCAGTGGCAATGTTGCTCTTTATTGTCAGATACTTTAAATGTTTAAATGTCTTGTGCGTATCTCTTTGCTGACTGTTCTATAAATGAGGTGCACATTGTCCTATAAAATGTTTTTTTGTTGTTTTTTTTGCTGTTTTCAAGTTTCACTCACTATTTTCTTTCTTTCTGACTTTCTATTTTTTTGTTGTCCAATTCTACAATTTATTTGTATTATTATTTCAAATTATATGAGAAAAATGAAGGTTCATTTTCTTCTGTTTTTAATGAGAGAAGCGTTTGTTACAAATGAAATTAATTCTACAAGACTTTTAGTTAAATTAAAATCTGACAACCTTCAGACTTTTTTGTCAATTGTCAATTATAATATAAGAAGACCAGACAAACAAAAAACCTGCCAAACCTGTGATATTCATAAATAAATGTACATAAAATGATGGGTATTCTCTCAGTTGTCTAGATAATGTTTGCACCAAAACACATAATCTTTATGACTTGGACAGAAGTAAATGATTTTGATTTGCCTCCAGTGACAGCATAAAGAATAATTAACTTAATAGCAAATTCTGGAAGCTTCTGCTTTCTCCTTACATTATTGTTTTAATGGAGTTATAAATCTTTGAGCACAGTGGTTGTTGCAGCTTTCCTTGTTTATGAAGTACTTCCATGTTTTAAACAAATGTGACACGTGACCAGTAGCCAGGTGTAACCCAGTCCAAAATAAAGGTATTTTGTATTGAGTTAAGTTCATGGAAGGTGTAATAATTTAGAATGTGTTAAACATGTTCACCTAAACATTTTAAAATTGTTATAAATAAGTGTTGACAAAAAACTGTTCTTATAAGTACACAAGTAATATGGTAGAATCAGTTTGAAGAATTTGGAAATATGTAGTTAAAACTTTACAGCCTTACAGGGTCATGGATTTTTTCTGCTTCACATTTTCAGTCTTAACGAAATGAAGATGAGGCCAACCATAAACTCCAGGCTTCACTGCATAATAAGGTCACATTTAAACTGGCCTGCAACCATTTAGAGTGTTCAATTATGGGAACATCCCTAGTTTGTTAAATTGTTCTTTTCTCCCTGTTGTGTTAAACAAATGTTAACATTTTTACAAGTTTATAAAAGTCAGTTTTTTACTTGCTCAAACCAAAGATTATAGTTTGTAGTTTCTTCTTACTGTCTTTTTATCTGTACGGTTTACAATGCTGTCAAAGAAAATTATTATATGACTTTCTACTGTTCAGCAACATAGAGGTTGTACATTTCCATAAGTGTAATTAGAAAAGGTGATTATTCATAAGAGCCCACCTCACTATTTTTTGAAAGCATCATGACCTTATAGTTTAAAAGTTATAATCATCAAGTAATGGTTCTCTCTGGATACAATTATGAACACTCACCTCTGCCTGAAAACAATATGGAAGTGAGAGTTTGTCAGACTGACTGAGACATGCTGAAGTGTGTGTATGTATTTCTGGCTATGTCAAGTAGAGTTGGCATAGGCAATTAAAATGTTGGCAAAATAAAGAATTACACTGTCTGACAGACTGCATGTCCTCATTAAACTATGCTAAGGTTACACCAGAAAACAGCAGAGCCACTAAAGTTAAACATGTAAAAAAAAAAAAAAAAAGTGATTAACCTTCTGATGCCTCATAATATTCATCCAGAAATATTCACCAAAAGATGTTGTTAATCTTATTGTGGAAAGTAAAAGTGATTTTTTTAATGTTATGATGATTTTTCAAAGTTGAGTTGAATCTACCAAATGTTATATTGGACTTCTCTGCACTTCTGTTTAACTTGGAGCAGTTCTCAGGACATAACGTTCCTATTACATCTTGAGATTTTTAATATTCCTCGACTATGTAATTAAAAAGAAATAATAAAGATCCACAGTTGTGTTCATTATTGGTCTCTTTACATAAGCGTGTGACTGGGATATTTTATTAATTGTTGCATCACCAGTTGAGGCATTGCAGCATTTTTACCCTTAAAATTGCTTTTTCTATTGTTACATGCGCAAACATAAATCCGCAGTTTTGTTGTGATAAGCTGCCTGTTTTTCTTGTTTCATGAAAACTCAGGAATACCATTCTTCAGGAGATCCTAGTGAGACTTTGCATTTACTCATAGGGAATTCTGGCAAATGAAAACATTAAGTACACATGAAGAAAGAGCAAAGACTTTCAAAATTACATTGAATTGAACTTTGAAAACCAAACCATTTCTTTTCCGCAAACCAGCCTTTAAAGCTCTTAACACTTTGCGCGTGTCACATTGTATTTATTACCTGGTGTATTTCCTGCCAGCCGTTCTCATCCTCACAGCCGACCTGTGCGTGGTCATGCAGCAGCAGTTCACAGCAGTATGGGTCTCCTCCGACCATTGCACTGTGGTAGAGAGGAGTAAGACCCCTGCTGTCTTTATAGTCAGGAGAAGCACCCAAGTCCAACAGTGTCTGTAGGCAAAGTTTTAGTTTTAAAGTGTTTTGTTATCAGTTAGAAGATGACCGTCATGCATTTTAAACGTGAAAGCAAGACAGAAATGAAGTGGGAGTGTTGTAGTAAATTTCCTCATCCTAAAATCTATGTTATTTACATGCATGGAAAATAGACTTTGGTAATTTGTAAAAAAAAAAAAATAAAATAAAGTTAAAGATATATTTTCCCTTATTTAAAGAGGATTGCAGGAATATTGATTTATACCTCTTCAACTTTTTTCACATCTCATCACATTACGACCACAAATCTAAAAGTATTCCATGACAATGCAATGTGATATCACAAAGTAACACATAACTTTGAAGAAGTAGAATATATCTTTAACTTTATTTTTCTTTTTTTTTTCTTTTTTTTTTATGACTAACCCACAGCTGGTTGAAACATGCCCCAAAAGTCTTGGTGCTACAGCAAGAGGTGGTTCTTCAAAGTCACAACTGCAAAAGTTTGCAAATACACATGCAAACTTTTCAGTTTTTGTGACAAACATTTTAAACTTCATCTCATTTTCCTTCCTTTCAACAACTCCATCTTATTATAGCAAGGCATATAAAACTCTAAAAAAAATAATACATCAAGAATTGTTGTTGTAATGTGACGCTGTTTAAGGGTCCAAGCGTAAAAATACTTTTGCGCTGTAGCTTTTATCCATCAGGAACAACGCAATCAACGCTTGATTTTTACATGTTTGGGTAATGGATATAAGTGAATGCAAAACATTCCAGTTCAACCAGTTCTGAAACAAGAAAACAACATATGAATCATGAACCCCCTTCACACATACCAGGCCATCAGTTGGTTATGCCAGTTCATTCAAAGAGGGCATCATTTATTGAGTAATTGCTCAACCATCATTTCTCAAGGACCTCCACCAACAGGTTATCAATTCCCATCTTCACAAATAAATTCCCAAAAGAAAAGATTGGAGGCAACCAATCGGACCACAGACATAAAACAGGAGAGTCAGCGTGTCTACTTCCTTTGTGAAATGTACTTACTATAAGTGCTGTGTGGTTCTTGCTGCGCACAGCCTTGTGCAAGGCAGTAATGCCATCCTTTGTTCGGAAGTCCAGATGTGCCCCTCCATTTTTAAGCACTTTGATGAGCTCGGCACATCCCTCCAACTGTGCTGCCAGCGTTAGTGGGCATTCTGTGAGATCCAAGGCTGAGTAAGCAAACTGTATTCAAAATTAACATTTTTCCAGTTATACTGATGCACATTCCTGGTGAAGAATGAGTTATAGCTGTCAGCATTTAACAAATAATAGTTAAAACTGTCAGTGACTCGGCATCTGCATAACTGCCTGGCTGTGGTAATTGTCACCCTCCTGTCTACCTAAATGGCAGCTTCCTATTGGTGTTAAACTAAGCTATTTATATGTTCCTCTCACTTTGCAGCTCATCTGCGGGACTACAGGTCATCCAGCAGAGAAACGACCTCCTTTGTTGTGGGACAAACATCTGAATATACATAAGACGATTAGGAGGAAGAATAATCCAGCTTTCCCCGCAAGCGCTAGGCTTATTTCAGAAAATCCTTACATGGTCAGTTGTGTTGAGGACAGTATGCAAAAGGCAGAAAGTACAATGGAAAAAAAAAAATATATATATATATATATATATATATATATATATATACATATATATATATATATATGTATATATATATATATATATATATATATATATATATATATATATATATATATATATATATACATATATACATATATATATATATACACACACTATAACTATTGAATGATTTCTTACCTCCTGTGTCTGGATCATGGAAGTTAGGATCCAGGCCTTTTTCCAAAAACCGTGAGACCTTTTCAATGTTTCTCTGCTGCACATACTCCATAAACTTCTTCAAGTTTGCCTAATGGAGAGAGACAAGGGAGTAAGGTTAAAGGGAAGACGTGGAAGAGATCGCTGTGATTGGGCGAAGTCAGACTCATGTGGATAGAGATGTTTAATAATGCAGTCCAGAGATGAAAGCTACTGCCGCTGCTCTTTCCTTCTATGTTTGAAGGTTTTATTTCTATTCTGTCATGCCAAGCAAATGGACCAGAAGATATGTAAGCTATAATAGGAGTGAGCAAAAAATAGAAGGGTGTAAAGGCTGGACAGCATCACTGAATCTCTTTCCCTTCTCGGGGAAAAAAAGAGGAAAATAAGATTCTCCAGCTTATTTCACATTTTCACTGTACATAACAATAATAATAGAAATAATAATCTTTTAAAGACTTTCTAGAAAGAACATCAGTGATATGTATATGGGTGGTAAAAAATAGTTTCATAACATTTATATCCACAGCAAATGATTCTTTTTTTATAATTAAAAATAAATGTCGACTTTACCAAAACTAGAGTAAACCGAGATAATAATAAATTGCAGCTGCAAAAAGTGCATGAGCAATGATGCTTTTTCAAAAATAAAAGCAGGTTAAAAATGCATGATAAAATTGTGAAATAAAGAAAGAAAAAGAAAAATCTAGTTAAATGGAATCCTAGAGGAAAATAGGAACCTTTGATCACAATGAGTATGGTGGAGACACAGTTTAACAAAATCAGCAATATTCCAACTAAGTTTAACAGGAAACTTGGATTACTTTTGTTCTTTCGAGGTTTCCTTTACTTTTGTCTATACATAATATTGACACAGGTACAAAGTAGATTTGCTATGACTCACTAAAGAAATGTGGAATTGCACACTTAAACACACTCTTCAGAAACATACACATACATATACAGGCAAACCAGAAAGCAGAATGAAGCATCCTTCTGACACTCACCATCATAAACTGCCCGATCCAGTTTTAAAATGTTACCTCCTCCGACACTTCCCAGATTTCACACACAAGGCCCTTTTCATTTGCACCAAGTCGTCTGCAGTCCGCTTGCCTGTACAAACCAGCTTCTTGTTCACACACGGCGCACTGACATGCTGTAAGGATCCACCGACTGCTACACTCCGAGTCAAACTGAGTGAGAGAAATTCTTGTCCTTTTTTTTTTTTTTTTTTTTTTTTGCATGTGCTTTCAGGCAGTTGTTATGGTGATGGGATACAAAGACCGTTCTAGCAGCCAATGTACACATGAGTGGGAAGAGCACTGAGGTTGTGTTTGTCTGTGTGTGAATGACACCTCTTTGTGTGTCCTGAATAATATCGTGGATAATGCCTTGAAGAGGTTCCTGGGATGATTTACCAATAATCAGGCGGGCCTGATGTGTGTTTTATTGCCTGCTGAACAGAAGGCTGATAAAAGGCTTCTACTTTATTTTCCTCAGCAAGGGCCTTAATGAACTCTTGATATTTTCTACCCGTGGCTATCTTTCATTGTCTGCAACATACACTGCCAATTTCACTTTTATGCAAAACACACAAAGCGTTTATTTTCAGAAACAACCAGAGCAACTGGCAAATCGCTATTAATTCTGAAATCAAACCAAAAGGATGACAGGGTGTAATAAATCATATCTGAAAGAGGAAAGCTCTTTTCAGTAAGGGCACAGTTACAAAATGCTGAACGTTGCTAGAAATCCCATTATTTTCCTAGTAGATCTACATTTTAGCAAATGCATGCATTGAATCACAAACAGATCCAGAACTATCCAAAATATTTGAATTCCGATACTATATACAATTGACAAATGCTTTTAAATAAACAAAATAGTTGTGTTTGGGAAACAAAACTATGCTTTAAATTGATTGTGTGTTTATGGAATTTAAAGTAAGATAGAGATTTTGAAAAAAAAAATAAAAAATGAACCATCCATACTGTATAAATAGATTTTTGATTAAAACCCAATTTCTCTGGATTCAGAAACATTCTCTAAATGAGGAAGAAAAAATGGACTTACAAGTACCTAAAAGATAAATTAGTTCATTGTTGTTTTGTTGAAGAAGCATATCTGAGTGGAATAAAACTGGTCATGAACAGGCCTCTGGCAAACTTGACAAAATACGGAAAAAATAACTCAACTAATGGAACAGGTGCATAGCAAAGAACAGAAACATCTGGAGACAAAAAGCCCAGCAGGTCTTGTTCAAATAAAATATGTAAAGTTAAATTCAATCTATAAATTACCACCTTATCATAGTTCAAGTCTATGTAATTATGATTATATTTAAGTTAGAAACAACTTTCATTTCAATTGAATGCCCTCCAATTCAATTGATCTATCATCCCACTTAATGCACTTAATTCATTAGTCAAACTTCTTGCACAAACAACATTCTCCATTTGTCTTAGTACTCACTGAAAATGGTTTGAAACTCAGACCTTATGAGAAAAATGTGTTCACATGCTGAAAAGAAACCTTGTATTTTTATTCTGTACCACAATTCTGAAAAATGATTTGTTTCCAAATATGCAAGCTCACACATTCAGGCAGAGAAATTCCTGGCAAACATTTGCAAATACACCTCCACAGTATTTCCCTGGTTAGCTTAAATTTCATTCAACCTTTTGCCAAGCCTGATTCCCTAATGAATGTAAGCTTCCAAATTTACTGTCAATATTTACCATCTAGGCCATTCATTACTCCCTGGATGTTTATCATTTCCAATAATTCCCTATCAGAACAATACATTTTTTACATAATAGAAAGAACAGGGAAAGTGGCCTCCACAGAAATCGAAGCAACATAACATTATGAACACATAAGCAAGCAAAAACTATCCTAAATAATCACAGGGTTATTAACTAAACCTCATATCGAACAACTCAGCACCTTCTTTACGCGATGTCAAGGGCCAGGCTCAAGAAAAACATACAACTAATAACAGCAGATGACACTGAGATGTAAAATCTCTCCTTCACAAATGACAGAAAGTTTGCTGTGACGCTAACAAATGTTCAACATGAAGATGTAGATGCTCTTCATTTCGTTAAAGCCAAGTTGTTCTGGCAGCCAGATAATATGATTCTCAGTGAGTGTGACCATTCTCTGGGTGTTTTGAGTGTGCAGAAAACTTGCATTGTACATTTGTGGGGGTTTAACATGCTGGAATCACATCGGTGTCCTGAGTGAGTGTTCACCGCTTGCTTGTAGCGTCATAGGACTCCATCAGTTCCGTGTTGTAGCAAATTTGAAATTTTGAACCTTTTGTTTCTCTTCTCTCTTTGCTCCTACGTCCGAATACGCCCTCGGCCAATCAGTGAACAGCAGTAGGTTTACGTCACATTATACCTGGTCGGCCCTGACCGACACTACTCCAGAGCAGGGACTGAAAAAGCAGATACTAGGCTGGACAAAAGGCCAGTGGAAACGCTTGCAAAGCATACTGAGCAGAGTGGAGCTGGCTCCATTAGAGCCAGTGGAAAAGGGGCACTGGTGAACCATCGTGACTGCAGTGGCCCCATTACTTGACCACTACTTAATCCATTCTCTGCCAGATACTGAGGAAGCATGCAACGAGCAAAACACTTGTTAAAGTCTTTCCTCACTTCTACCCTAACATTTATACTATACTCTTAACAATGCAGATGTTGGCTGTTCTCCAGCCCTACTTTACACAATAGATGCAGCAAAAATGTATTGATTTCTTTGGCTGTTAGTCCAGGAACTGCATAACATTCTCTCTAACCTGTAATAACCTACTTACACCGAGAGGCAAATCAATCACATCAGTTTGTTTATTGATGAACTCAATGTCAGAAAACCAAAATATGTGCAAAGAACTAATGAAAGCAAAATTCTGACTCGACAGAAAGTGGCCTCCTCTCCCTCTGCAGTCTAACAAATTTAGACATGTCTAAACCTTTTTCACGTTAATTTGTATCCATTGAGGACTCTCACTTCAGCTTTTAAAGATGATTGCCTGCTCTGGAGGAAAATGTAATTTGAAACCCTCACTGTATGTCATTCAGGACTCCTTAGAAAGCCTCCTAGAAAATTTCCAGTTTATCTTATTTCTTCTTTTGAAGAAAGAGGCGGTGTGAGCTGCAGTAATGACAAAGGGAGTACTGAAGTTTTTTTTTTTTTTTTTTTTTTTCAAAAATACAATTACAGGTTAACAAAACAGCGTGTTCAGGTTGTTAAGATGACTTAAATCATTGCTGGTCAGAGAGCAAAACAGTTAATTAGACAGTTCCTAAATTTCAGTGTCTCTCTTCACCTGAAGGATTCATTCGCTCAAATGTGGCCGACACAAACTTCTCTTTCTGAAACTTAGCCTTGTGGTAGCATAAAAAGAGTCAGAGTTAAAGAAAAATATAAAATGGAGACTATTCTCCCTAGTGAAATGAGAAAGAAACTGTGAGCAGCAGCTCCCAGAACCTCTGTCCTCATTTATCTTTATTTCTGCACTTCATTTAAAACAACAACCGAGGTGCTATGCAGTATAAATAATAAGTAGTAAAAAAAAAAAAAAGAAGATTAAAAAATTACCTCATAAAAGTAAAATTAAAAGGTAAAATATAAAAATATATTAAATATATTAAAACCCCTACTACCCAAAGGCAAATATGACCTGCGTATCAAAGACATAATAGAAAACACAGATTTCAGTAAATAAAGCTTTACAACTGGCTTCAATACATTTTTGGGTTTTTGATCATTTGCACATAAAGATTTTTTTCAGTTTTTGTTTTACAAAATGTTCTACTTTATTTTTACCTCTATGTGTTTTTTTTTTAAAAATAAAAAAATAAAGTTAAGATTTAGGGGTAGGAGTTTATAAGTGCTCACTTCTTCCTCCCCCATTTTGAGCATGATATGTTAACTGAAACAAAAAAATCTGTATTTTCTCTTCTTTCTTATGCACTTCTTGTTACTGTGCACTATTTTATTTTATATTTGTATCATGTTCGAATAAAATTTCATTTCATTTCAAATTTCATTTCATTTAAATGTTATTAGAACGTGAAAAGG